AAAAAACAGTGTCACACAGTTTTATTTATCTTTAGATCAAGACGTAAGTCTTAATTGAACGAATTCGTTTCTGTGAATAACACCATCACCAAAATTTAAGCCTTAAGGGTACACTTGAGTACTCTCGCGTTTTATACCTACTATAGTTTAACTTCGTTGACGTATTTCTTACAGGTTTTGTCTTATAGTCAAACGAGTATGTTTTTATCATAAATTACAATGACATTATACTCTTATGTTGTAACATGCAAGAATTTTTTCTATCATCATTATTCATTACCTTAATAATTGAATATGTTTCAATACTTTTTGTTCTTTTTTGTTTCCTTTAATATATCTATTGAATGTTTCTTCCCGTAATTTTTTACCTGTTATTGTACCATAACTATAAGCATTTTACAGTTGTCCTAACAAAAATGCAAATTATTAAATAACATTTTTTATACTCTGCTTGAAAAATATAACAGTTACCTAAATATACGTTAAACCTAACCTTTCTTTAATAATATTGATCATCCAGCTATGTTATTAAAATACTTCAAAGAAGTGTATTTCAATCATAGGTCAAACCGTATTTCGTAAATGAATAATTTTATTGCATAATATATTATATTACAAACAAACAAACAAACAAACAAAAATAAAATCGCAAAATCGTTAATTATAACGACAGTGGAAAGGCTAAGTAATGTAACCTTCAAAAATTACATTTTACAGGAATTATACTTAAATGTTAATAGTTTTGTCAATCAAGTTAGGTTATTGGCATAGACCTTATACTCTGAGTATAAGGTCTATGGTTATTGGAGAATACAAAAATATGTATTTATTAATTTGTCTACATCTTTATTTCTGTTTTGTTGGCGGTATGGTTTACATATAWTCTGGCATTTCCACTGTCAATAATATAGGAGGTTACACAACTCTCTTGAATAATAATAATAAGTAATTGGTTTATCTAATGCCAACGAGATTAAATAACAAAGAAGAAATAAAAACRAAAATGAATAAATGGATTAAAAATTATTAAATCTCTTGTTGACGTCCATYTCGGGTACGTTGACGCGTTCTTGGTGTCTGTACACCCGTGATTTGTCCTGGTGGTCTTTTATACGGTTGTTGTACCTTTCTATCTGTTCTTGCAATATTTGGTGTTCGATCTGTAAGGAACAAAATAATAATAGTAATGTCAAGTGACCGCTTAATTTCATATATATTTTTATTCAATTATATATAGGTATACAAATAGCGAGAAAAATACCGAAAGCGAAATGTACGTATATATTATTATATATAACGTATATATTATTATTATTATTATTATTATTATTTATTATTACGTATATATTATTATCATATAGGTATAGTCTCAAATAGTGTTTGAGATTTGGGTGGAGGAGAGATGAAAGAGGGCTGAATAAATAATTTTTTCGTGAATCAATTTGGTGTAAAACCTTAAGTTTTGTAAGAGCATACACCCCCTCCTTGATATACGTCTATTTATTGGTACTATAATAAGGCACCTGATGATATATCGATTTCGATCAATTCTATTAACGATTAATGATATACCATACCATTGCTCGTTCTTCATCAAATTCTAGACATCCAATTCCGTCTAACTTTTCTAAATTGATCCGTCCTTTCCACTGCACRCAAACGCCATTCATTATAAACGGCGATAGGATGTGAACCTATTAAAACAGAAACGATTATTAGTTTTTGGGTTTTATTTCCTCTGAAAAACGCTGTCAAAACTATCAAGTTAATATCATAATAACAGTTAAACTCCAAACGGGCATACATTAAGTCAACTAATGCTGCAGTGTCATGAATTCACATATTTTTGCAGCCTTTCGCACTATTGTATGATSWGTGAATTGATTTTTGTGTTCATTTGACAAACTGCAAATATTATACTCTTTTCGGCTATAAAATTGTGCGTATTCCTAACACTATCTGATACCCTAAAATTACATAATTTATCCAATAAAACTTTTAACCTAACTTATTATAGTTCAAAATATGTTTCCGGGGGATATATATGTAGGCATTTAAACAATTTTAAAACAACCGTTTTTAAAAATCAACTACAATGTTGGTGGGCTTACTATTTCATAAACAAGTAGTAAAGACTAAAAAAAAGCCACACAAAACACGTTTTAGAATGAAATAAAATGTAAAATGTATACCTTAAATTGTCACGGTACTTTTCGAAATAACGAACACTCTTTAAAATACAATAATATAATACTATATTAAATTTAAAAAAAAAAAAAACCTTTTACATTGTGTAAATATTTGTCGTCGTCGCAAACGCAACAGAACTCATAAAATCGAATTATCCGAGACAATGGTGCGGAGTTATGCGCTTCAATACAGAACTCGGGGTGCTATGAGTACCCTAGCAGGCACCCCCGCGATTTGCCCCTACGAACTTGATATTTATTTAGAATAATATGACATTGTATTGCATTGTATTCAATTGCGTAACAGTCTCGACCAACACCACACAGCACTGTCGCGCAGAATTCACCTTACACCACGTGGTGTCTCGCGCACATGCCCCGCGATGAGCGTATAATAATAATAATAATGATAATGCACATCGTGTATACATCGCGTCGGCGATAAATAAGACGCCCTGCAAGTCGCACAATATAATATTGTGTATAGTATCAATATAATGAATTATATAAGGCTGCCGGCGTGAAAAAATATAAATAGCCGGCCGAGACATTTTCTCTCGTCACACTTGGGAAATTACATCCCCGAGGTGTTATGATATTATATTTTATAATAATATCGTAAGAATAACGCGCGGGGTAGTAATAACGATTACATACAGACGATAAACGTACAATGCGCATCACACGCTGCGTCCATAACATATTTTAGTAATCTGTGTATTTGATATAATATTATTATTATTATGTATACGCCTATACACACGGCAGCAGAATCACGCAACGTTTATTGTCCGGTTTCCTTATACATACTTAATGTATATAAATATGATATAATCGATTATCGTCCGTTCTTTTATATAATAAGGGTGTAGGTCACATCGCATCATTGTACCCACACATGTATACGCATTATTGTCCGGCGCGTTTCCTGTCGTGACTTCTCGACCRTTTCACTTTATTTTGTCCGTCGTGTTCGTAAATAAACTATGTATTTCGAACGAACGGCAATAATAGTATATTACGTGCAGTGCAGCATATATTGTTTAGTCTGACGTTTTTATGTCGTGTGTGTGTGTGTGTG